TGTATATATATATATATATATATATATATATATTGTATTTTATTAAACTCTGTTTCTGTTAGAACCACGGAATGTGGTTCAGGAAACTCTGCATGGTTGACCAACCCCCAAAGGAGTTTTGATCAACATTATGTCTTATTAGTCACATGTTTCATTCAGTGTCATGCTTTTTCATATTACTTTCTTTCATTTTCTTTGTCATTTAGCAGACGCTTTTATCCAAAGCGACTTACAAATAAGAAAAAGTAACTGAAACTAAAAGCTAAAACTCTATCAATACTATATATATATATACACACACATAAGAAAATTAATTAAATAAAAATGACAAATGCATACAACAACATTTCAAAACTAAACATTTAAATGAAAACAATTCAAAATATTAAAAGAACAAAAGGTATGAGTATAATAATGATTCTAACATAACATTAAGCCAAGCACCAAAAAACAACTACATGTGTGTATGAACAGCCACACACATATACATAAACATATATATAAATACATTCAATATATATATACTATTTCATTTCCATTTTGTATGTTGAAGTACTGAAATAACTCAAATTAAATAAAACTAAAACTTAATAAAAAACCTATATAGACATAATAAAAAACTAATAAAATGACAACATTACTACAACTGTAACTAAAATAGATAACTAATACAAATCAAACATTAATTTATCAGTAATCCTAAAAATGTTTTTAAAAAACACTGAGCCAAACACACGTTAAAATAACAACAACTTACTGACACATAGTAAGAAATGGTTATAAAAAACTGAAGCAGAAGTGAAACAAGTAGTAGTAAAGAGGAGAAATAAAAAGCGATACTTATCCTTTGCCGGTGTCCCTGCCCGGACACGTAAAAATAAAATATTATAATTCAGCCTGGCTTTATATAATAAGCAGAAATGATTCATGTCAACATTTGGGAAATGAATATGTACTCATTGCCTTGATGTGCTTCTGCCTAACTGAATATCTGCTTAAGTGGACACTTTTCTATTCTTTTAAAGTCAATTCCACAGGCAGAGATCAAACTCCCCGAGGCACAGCTGTGTGTCCATGAAGAGTGAAGCATCTATGGGAAGGTCAGTAATATTTAATGGGAAAAACAAATCAAATCTGAGGTACAACATTTCTAGGTTTAACCTAGATAGAAAATTCTATTACTTTTTTCCACTTGGCCCAAATGCTGAATATGTGATAACATCTATGCTTCTGCTATAACACTGTATCCAGTGGATAATGACATCATTAGATTAGGAGGTGTCACTTTAAATTACTGTCAATTTTACCGCTTTAATTCATGTTGTAATCTCTTATTTTAATCTTTCTCTCAGTGACTCTCAACTGGTCCAAAGCACAATTAAATCAAATCTGGTGAAGAAGTTTCAGTGTCTGTATGAAGGAACATCAAAGCAGGGAAACCCAACACTCCTGAATGAGATCTACACAGAGCTCTACATCACAGAGAGGGAAGATGGAGAGATCAGTAATGAGCATGAGCTGAGACAGATTGAGACACAATCCAGGAGAGCAGCAACAGAGGACAAACCAATCAAATGCAATAAGATCTTTAGACCTTTATCTGGTCAAGAAAAACCCATCAGAACTGTGCTGACAAAGGGAGTCGCTGGCATTGGAAAAACAGTGTCTGTGCAGAAGTTCATTGTGGACTGGGCTGAAGGGAAAGAGAATCAGGATGTCCAGCTCATATTTCCACTGCCTTTCAGAGAGCTCAACTTGATGAAGGACAAAACACTCAGTCTTTCAGATATTCTTCATATCTTTTTCCCTGAAACCAAAGAAATAGAAATATCCAGTGATGAATATAAAGTGTTGTTCATCTTTGATGGTCTGGATGAGTGTCGTCTGTCTCTGGATTTTCAGAGCGATGTGAGGTTGTGTGATGTAAGTGAATCAGTCTCAGTGGATGTGCTGCTGATGAACCTCATTGTGGGGAACCTGCTTCCCTCTGCTCTCATCTGGATCACCTCCAGACCAGCAGCAGCTGATCTCATTCCCTCTGAGTGTGTCCATCGAGTGACAGAGGTACGAGGCTTCAATGATCAACAGAAGGAGGAATACTTCAGGAAGAGAATCAGAGATCAGAGTCTGGCCAATACAATCATCTCTCACCTGAAGTCTTCAAGGAGCCTCCACATCATGTGCCACATCCCAGTGTTCTGCTGGATCTCAGCCACTGTTCTAGAGAAGATGTTGAGTCAAGCAGAGAGTGGAGAGATTCCCAAGACTCTCACTCAAATGTACACACACTTCTTGATCATTCAGACCAACATCAGACATGAGAAGGACTATGAGAAGAAAGTCAAAGATGAAGATATGATCTTCAAACTGGGGAAACTGGCTTTTCAGCAGCTTGTGAAAGGCAACCTGATCTTCTATGAGGAAGACCTGAGAGAGTGTGGCATTGGAGAGACAGAAGCATCAGTGTACTCAGGATTGTGCACTCAGATCTTCAGAGAGGAGTTTGGATTGTTTCGGGGGAAAGTCTTCTGCTTTGTTCATCTGAGCATCCAAGAACATCTAGCAGCTCTATATGCACATCTGTCCCTTATGAAAAAAAACAGAAATGTGTTTATTACTCTGTCTTCTAGTCCTTTGAAGCATTTAAAGAAGGCTTTACATGTTTCATTATCTGAGCTGCATCAGAGAGCTGTGAAAAAGGCCTTCAAGAGTAAAAATGGACATCTGGACCTTTTCTTGCGTTTTCTTCTGGGTCTCTCATTGGAGTCCAATCAGATTCTCTTACGAGAACTACCGACACAGACAGGAAGCTGCTCCTACAACAAAGAGGAAACAGTTGAGTACATCAAGCAGAAGATCAGGAGGAATCGCTCTCCAGAGAGATCCATCAATCTGTTCCACTGTCTGAATGAACTGGGTGATGATTCACTGATGCAGGAGATCCAAGATTATCTGAAATCTGGAAAAATAAGAGAAATCAAACTCTCCTCTTCACAGTGGTCAGCTCTGGTTTATGTGTTGCTGACATCAGAGCAGAAGATGGATGTTTTCAAACTAAAACTGTTTATTGGATCCCAAAATACAGCAGATGAAGTTCTTCAGAAGCTGCTACCTGTGGTCAAAGAATCCAAATTAGTTCAGTAAGTCAGACTGACAACAATCACTACACTGATAAAACATGATCACATGAACATGATTTTGACTTTAGCATGCATCTTACCAAAGCAACAAAAGGGTTACATTTCCAAAAAAATCCCATCACTGACCGTCAGGAGAGTGCTTACTAAAGAACCTGAGGAGATTTTTGTGTGTCTGTGTAAGAGCTGATGATTGTAGAGGTCAGTGTATGAATGTCCCTGGGATCAAAACTGACAGCAAACAGCAACAGTGTCTTTAACAGTGTTTTTTTTTTTTTTTTTTTTATATAGATGCTGCATGATTAGGACTGTTTGTCCTGTAATGATGTTTATGTGACTGTTTTACATTTTATTCTGTAGTCGCAGCTTGTATCAGTTCACCATGCATCTTCAATCTCTGCAGGTTGATGGATTGTGGCGTTACAGATGAAGGTTGTGGTGCTTTGGCTTCAGCTCTGAAATCAAACCCCTCACACATGAGAAATATGAATCTGTCACTGAATAAACTAGGAGCATCAGGAGTGAAGCTGCTCTCTGATGGACTGAAGGATCCTCACTGTAAGCTGGAAAAACTGAGGTAAGACTGGTGGTAACATTCTCCATTTTCTTCTTCTTGCAGGGGATCTTTTTACAGTACTAGTAGTACCAACTCAATTCTATACACACTCACAGTCAACTGCTTTCAAACGCTCCTGTGTGTTTTTCTGTGCACGCTCTGGTTTTGCAGCATTTGTAGCAAATCACAGGCATCTATATTGAAAGCAATAGGGGCTTTCGCACCACGTAGTTCTATGAACTCAGTTCTAGGAGCTAGCCAGCAGCGTGGTCCCTAGAGAACCAATTTCTCACTTAGGCTGTTTTACTGGTTGTATTCGCACTGGAAGCTGGAAATCTGAAGCAGCCGACAGCCACGTCTTTATGTACGGCATTTACAAACATCAACAACCGGTGAATGGAGGACGGTGTGATCTGAGCTGTTTTGAGTTCTGAGCTGAAAAGAGGCAGTGGTGTTTGATACCATATTTCATATTATTGTAAATGTAAATACAGTGACGATAAGCGGAGTAGCCAAGGCGAGCTGAGTGACGTTATCAAGTGCACTGCTGTTCCATTAGCAGAATTACTGGATTTGCGTCCTCCGCCTGAGTCGAACTTGCCAAGTCCGAACTACCAAGGATGCAAGTCCGAACCTTGCGTACTTGGTATGGAGAAATGCCCCTAATGGCCAATCAGCAGTTTACACTTTAGGTTAGTCAGAATCCGCTCTGAACTAGTTTTTGTTTTCATAAGTTTACGGAGTTCTACATACTCGCAAGATCTTGCTATTATAACGTGAAAAAAGCATACATACGGTGAAAATAAGAGATTGATTGTGTAGTAAGTCACTGATTATATCGGTTATTTCGCAAAATTGTGAATGGATAATGTAGAGAACCCAAGCAACATGAGTAAGCTCGGTCAGTTGCGCAACTGACCGAGGTGCAACGGTGATAACTGTAGCAATAGACTGAACAAACTATCTGACAAGCCGTCAAAATAGAGATGTGCATTAAGTGATGCAGAATAAATTCAGAGTAACAAAACTACAGCAGCAACAAGTCTGTGTTGGCTAAATCCAAAGTTCTGTCATGAAATTATTTTTTATTAACTAAGTTCGGGAGGAGCACGTTCAGATAATTAACCTGATTAACATGAGAGGAGCACAATCAGTAATCAACCTAATTAACAAGTGTATATATACACAGCAGACTTGGCTCTGTTCCTCGACAGTTTTCCAGCGTCCCAGTGGTGGAGGGACGCTGGAAAACTGTCGAGTATGTAACCCTCGTTCCCTGAAGGAGGGAATGGAGACGTCACGTTGGTGACCGACGAATTGGGATCTCGCTTAGAGAGACCAATCCACTTCGAGTGTAAACTAAACGAGCTAATGCACATTACAATGTGCATACGATGATTGCATCCATCTGATCACAGTGTGAGCATAAAAGGGCAGCAGGCGCAACACATACCAGGTTTTTGCTGAGGAGCCGAGCCGGTGACCCGGCCGCTCAGCGTGGTACAGCAGCCATGGCGACGTGACGTCTCCGTTCCCTCCTTCAGGGAACGAGGGTTACATATATACGTAACCGAGATGTTCCCTTTCAGTCGGTCACTCTCAATGTCATGTCGGTAACCGACGAATTGGGATCCCTACCAAAGTGCCATGGATGCTGCCCATTTTTGGTGTAGGCCGGGGCTCGCAACAAGAATACCAGTCACTGTTGTCGTAGCACTACCCACTCAGTGAGATTGGATAACACTGGGAAAACGTATCTGTACCACTTGGAACAGGAACGGTGCGGAAGCCCCATCCTTCCCCAAGGAGGTCTCGGAAGCACTTACACATGTGAACAACCGTTTAGGTGCATATGGAAGATTAGAGGTGATTATAACCCTCTTGGAAATGGCAGAAGTCTGCCGGGGAAACACTGGCTCTGAGGCTATACCGTGGACTTTACACATGTGTGATCCACTTATGTCTCTACATATGGAACCCAGCCATCTACTGCTTCTCACGGATTCATCGAGTGAGGGCCTGGCGCTGGACGTTCCGCCATGTCTGGCTGCCAAGGGGATAAAGGAGCTCGACCGGGTCTACAGTACGGACACTCTGGAGCAGTTTTAGCAACCCGGAGGAGCTCGACAGGGTCTACAGTATGGACTCTCTGGAGCGGTTTTAGCAAGTCATCAATAAACCGGGGCCTCTCAGTGCCTCTACCCATTTGAGGTGAGAACATAGGAGGATACCGGCTCCACACAAAGGCTATAGAACCTAGCGAACGTGTTGGGGGTCGCCCAGCCTGCAGCTCTACAAATATCTGTCAGCGAGGCACCACGAGCCAGCACCCAGGAGGATGCAACACTTCTAATAGCGTGAGCTCGCAACCTGAGTGGGCAAGGCACACCCTGTGCCTGATAAGCCAGGTGATGGCATCCACTAACCAGTGGGCCATCCTCTGCTTAGAGATGGCCTTACCCTTCTGCCGGTCTCTGTAACAGACAAAGAGCTGGTCTGAGGTCCTAAAGCTTTGTGTCCGGTCTACGTACCATCTCAAGGCTCGGACGGGCTGGGTCTGCCTCCTCTGGGTGCAGCGTTTGCAGGTTCACTACCTGATCCCTGAAGGGGGTAGTAGGAACCTTGGGCACATAGGCCTCAGGCCGGGGCCTCAGGATTACCTGGGAGTCAGCCGGCCCAAACTCTAGGCATGAATCGTCGACCAAAAATGCGTGCAGGTCCACTCGACGAACAGGTTCCACTTCAAGGCGTAAGTATGTCTCGTAGACTGTGCTCTCACCAAAGTGATGATGTCAACTACCTGCTGGGGTAGGTCACCTAGAACCTCCACGTCCCGTCCAGGGACCAGACATCCAGGGTGCCACAGGGTGCCCCATCTCTGAGTCAGTAGATCCTTCCTCAGAAGAATCTGCCAGGGAGGGGCTGCCACAAGGAGCATTAGTTCTGGGAACCAGGTCTGAGTGGGCCAATTCGGCGCCACAAGCAGGACCTGCTCCTCGTCCTCCCTGACTTTGCAGTGTCTGTGCGAGAAGGCTCACTGGGGGAAACGCATACTTGCGCAGGCCCCGCAGCCAGCTGTGTGCCAGTGCATCCATGCCGAGTGTTCCCTCAGTCAGGGAGTAGAACAACTGGCAGTGAGAGGTTTCCGGAGAGGCAAACCGGTCTACCTGAGCGGCTCCGAAATGTCTCCAAATCAGCTGGACCATCTGGGGATGGAGTCTCCATTCTTCTGGGAGCGTAGCTCGTGACAGCTCGTAAGCTGTATGGTTGAGCAGACCCGGAATGTGAATGGCACGAAGTGACCTCAGAACATTCCGACTCCAAAGGAGGAGTTGCGACGGAAGCGCAGTCCACCTTGTCGGTTGATGTACGCAACGGTCGCCGTGTTGTCCGTTTGGACCAGCACGTGCTTGCCTCGTAAGCGCCCTTTGAGACGGTTCAAGGCAAGGCGCACCGCTAACAACTCTAGGCAATTGATATGCCAGTGCATTTGATGGCCCGTCCACACCCGCGACACTGCGTGCCCGTTGAACGTGGCCCCCCAGCCAGTGGTGGAGGCATCCGTGTAAACCACAGCATGCCTGGAGACCTGTTCTAGGTGCACTCCTACCCAGAGAAATGCAATGTCTGACCACGGAGTGAAGGTTTGGCGAAAGGCCGGTGTAACTTGGACCCGGTGAGTGCCGCACTGCCACGCCCACCTCGGGACTCGGCCATGAAGCCAGTGCTGAAGCGGTCTCATATGAAGCAGCCACAGGGGTGTAACTGCTGCTGCAGCTGCCATATGCCCCAGGAGCCTCTGAAATTGTTTCAGTGGGACCACTGTCCTGCCCTTGAATGAATTCAAGCAGTTCAGCACCAACCGCGCATGTTCCTCTGTGAGGCATGCTGTCTGTTCGACCGAATCCAACTCCATACCGAAAAAAGAGATCCTCTGCGTCGGGGAAAGTTTGCTTTTTTCCCAGTTGACCCGAAAACCCAACTGGCTGAGGTGCCGGAGCACCAGGTTCCTGTGCTCACACAACTGATCCCGAGACTGTGCTAGTATAAGCCAACCGCCGAGATAGTTGAGGATGCGAACACCCTGCTCTCTGAGGGGAACAAGAGCCCCCTCCGCAACTTTTATGAAGACACAGGGAGATAGGGACAGCCCGAAGGGCAGGACCTTGTACTGATATCCTTCGAACGCCAACCGCAGAAATGGTCTGTGGCGCATAAGGATCAACACATGAAAGTACGCATACTTCAGGACGATCGCTGCAATCCAATTTCGGGGACGGATACCCCCGAAAATATGTTTCTGCATCAACATCTTGAACAGTAACCGGTGAAGGGCCCGGTTCAAGACATGCAGATCCAAGATTGGTTGTAACCCACCGCCTTTCTTGGGTACAATGAAGTAGGGGCTGTAAAACCCCATCTTCATATCGGCTTCATGAGGGACCGGCTCTATCGCGTCCTTCACCAGTAGGACTGCGATCTCTGTACACAAGACAGCAGCATCAGCCGCCTTCACTGCTGTGAAGTAGATGCCACTGAACTTGGGGGGACGCCGGGAGAACTGAATCGCATAGCCGAGGCTGATGGTCCGCAGAAGCCAGCGAGACAAGCTGGGTAGCGCTAGCCAGGCACCCAGATACTGTGCAAGCGGGACGAGCGAAACCACCACCGTACAGGGCCAGCGAGGTGGAATGCAGGGACCCAACTCGGCCGGCTCGTGGGCTGACCCAAGAGGGGTCTGAATGTGCGGTGCAACGCTTACCTGGTTCCACGGTTTGGCAGAGGGTGCGTGAGTAGGGCCTTTGATGATGCTCTCGAAACGCCCACTGCTGCCTGCTGGCGAGAGAGGAGGATGAGTGTGGTCTGGTGTTGGTCCATCCGTGACTCTCCGTGCCCTCTTGGGATCCAGAGACAGAGAAAACCGCTCTCTCGTCGAGATTTTTGGAAACCAGATTCTCCACACGGCCTCCTCCGGGGAGGGAGAGGTGCATTCACCATCCCCCAAAGAGCAGTTACCGCTC